TTTTCTCTGTTTTCCTTTCTCCTTTTCTTCATCTCTTCCTTAGAGGTGGTTTCTTTGACCTTCTCTGCTCTCCCTGTTCTCTCCCCTATCCTCCCCTGCTCCCCCTCTCCTCCCCAAACATCTGTGTGTGTGACAGGTGAGAGAACAGCGACATTCCCTCAACGTTCCACCCCTCCCCCTTCTCCTCCCATTTTTTCCTCCTTTTTCTTTCGCTGGTGCTCCTGTTCGCTCGCTCTCTCTCTCTCTCGTCTTACATTCCCCCATCGCCAGCCTCCTCCTCCATCTCCACTTTATTCTGTCAACCTCTTCTCGCTTCTTCCCTTTCTCCCTCCGGCTTTCACCTTTCCCTGCAACTCTGTTCTTTTTTTTAATATATCACTCTTCACCCCCCTCCTAACCTCTGTCAGGCTGTCCCTCCTCCCCTCTCACCTCTCATCTGTTCTTCTTTTTCCAGCCCTCTCACTTCCTCTCCAATCTATGACAGCAGTTGCCCATCTCACTGCTCTGGTCCCTTCTTTTTTTTTTTTTTTTGCTCCCACACATCCTTTATTCTTGTCCCTTGTTCCTCCCCTGACCTCTAACATCAAGCTCTTTAGCCCACAGCTCTCTTCTCTCATCGCTTTTTTTAGTCCGTTTTTCCCAAATGCTTGCCATCACTTGCACAATCTTTTGAACCTTTACGTCTCTATGGACTTTTCAATCTATCTGTCTCTCTCTCATTCCCATCTGTTACTTTTGGTAACCCTGTAACCCTAACATGCCTTCTACTCCATCCATCCTCTTCAACCCCTTTTCCCTTACCATCACCCTGTCCTTTCATTCACCCCTTTAAATCATGTTCAGACCGATGGAGGCACTTTTTCAAAAATGCAGTCTCCTCATTGATTTGACTGTGCAGTTGGGCTCTGGCAAAGAGAGGCACAGTTGTCTGTCAAAAAAGCTGAACATGGCAGCTCAGCTTTTGATGCAACACAATGCAGCATCATCCAACAGTGCACTGCGCTGGACAATCAAATAATACTTTTTGCATATTACATTGTATTGTAAAAGCAGTAATTTTGATGTTCAATTTTGGATTGTTGAGAGGGAGGATCCAATTATTTCTGACACAGTATCTGTCCAGAGTCCAGAAAATCTTCACTGGTGGTGTTATAAACTGCTGTGAATTTGATAGTTCCTCAAACTCATGGATGTATTGAGGTACTCAAACTGGACTTGACTGGCCTGGATCATATGTCATTTTCTCACCATCTCAGCAACACATCAATACTGTAACAGTTTGTTTATGAGGCAACAATGAGGAAGACCCAGATTCAGACTCACAGCCAGAACAGGTTCAGTAAAAGGAACTACTGGAAATAATGGCAGACGAACAGGCTAACAGGCAAAGCCAGCAGGTTTAAACAGATGTGGCATGTAATCAACAGGATGGTTCAGGTGAAAATGCAGTTACAGATAGAATATAATAATGGATAATTCAAAGGCAAACAGCAACATTCGCAATCTGACAGAGAGACAGTGTTAGTGTGCACATATATATAGAGAATGTAGCATGAGAGACAAGTGTGCAGGTGGTTGTAGTACTCAGGTTACTGGGACTGGCCGGAAAGTGAGAGGGCATTTGACATACGGCTGGTAAATGGAAGATCTGGAAAGTTCCCAAAAAGTGCAGGGGCCCTGTCAGTGACTGAGGTATCAGGGATACAAAATGTGTGGTCATGACATGTACTACTGCAGTTTCTTGCATTTTTTTTTTATTGCAGTCAAATATTCACTTTGAATGCCTGCCTAACATGCACCAATTGTAGGAGTGTGGGCACCGTAGCAGTCGCACTGCAGGGCAGAGAATATTGGAGGTTTGAAATTCAATTCCCACCAACCAGTAACAACCGTTTAAGTGGCCTTGAACAATGTGTGAAAATTTACCAACAGCTCGCTTTGTGTTTCTCAGTGTCGAATATAGAATTGTATTTGCACTTAAGGAGTGTGAATGTGAAACAGAGGGTTGGATGAAAAGCATTTTGAAGAAATACGATTTCATATGTGGTATCTGACAGTCTCAAATAGTTATCCGTCAAAAGATGTGACAGTACAAATGTAGAGGAATATGCCATATTATGACAACGTACGTTGAATGGGTATGTCAGTAGTGTTTGAGGATATATACAGAAATAGAGCCTCTGCTTTCAGATGGAATCCCTAAATACCATGATTGTCTATACAATGTACAATCACTATGTGTGCAGTAATAGCCCCATACATTGCACATATATTCTAACCATTCCTCTTTCACTTTGCTCTATTGACCTAAACTCTACCCATAACTTTTCCAATCTTTGCTCTCTCTTCCATGTCATTTAAACCCACCTGCATTCTAACTCTGTTGATGGTGTCCCCTTTTCAGTGTTGAATGGGTTCGGTTTATCTCCCAAGTTTCTCATCCTTTTGCCTCTTCTCTGTTCCTTCTCCCCCTCTTCACTTTGGCCTCATCTATCACCTTCTTTACCATAACTACATTGCTCCCTTTCTGTCTTTTTTTTTTCAACCCATCCGCATTCTATCTCATCTCTGGCCTCCCCAGTATCAGAGCCATAAAATCCCCTCATCACTCCCTCCTCTCCTCACCTCATCCATCTCTCTTATTCTCCCTCATTTCCATTTTCTGCCTCCTCCCTTCTTTTGTCAAACCCTCAACACACACCTTCTCGTCATTCCTTCCGACACCCCATCCTCCGATCTTGTTTGTAGTGTCACACTGCCTTGGTCATTGTCCGCTCAGCTTGGTTTCTTAATCTTTATTTTCTACTGTCTGTGTACTTATCACAATCACCTGCCCCTCCCAAACCCAATTCCTCCCCCTCTCCTGCTTTTGATAGTGTTTTATCCCCTCAAGGGAATGGCTTTGCTGCAACGGGTTTTGAGGTATTGACGTTTCCACTGATATGTGCCTGGTATCTTTCAAGGCCGGGGCTGGAGTGTAATGGCTCTGTAATTGGATAAGATATGGGATTTTTGTCGTGGGGGGATACATCACAAACTGCCTCACCCTGTATTTTATCATTTGACTATCATCTCTCATGCCTCCTCCACCATGCTTGGTGCTCTTCTCCGACTCTCTCGTACCTTGTCGATACTCTCTCTCCCTTTCTCTAACTTTGTGTTTTCTCTTTCTCCCTGTCATTTTTAAATCGGTCACTCCCCTTCACTTGTGCCTTTAGCCCGTCACTTTCTTATCTGTATTTGTGTCCTTTAGAAAAAATCCATCACAGAGAATCAAAGGAGACGGCCATGACATGGCCAGTTTGCAGTCCATCCACCACCCACTCTTCCCGATAATCATTTCACAGTTGCATTCTGTCACAGGCTCGGATGTTTGCAGCAAATGATACATCTTGGCTTGGTTTGTTTGTGTGTGTGTGTGAGAATGCAAATGTGTCTCCACATGTGTTTTATGCACTCTCATTTGCATTTTTTCTTTTATTTCTCACGCTGGTTACACTGTTCTCACAGTAGCCTACATACAATGTTGGCATCACGCCTCTGTTTTCATCTCGTACATTTTAATGGCAGCAGAAATCAGGTCAGTGGGATCCAGTCCAGCATTTTACTTTCCCTTCTGTCTAGCAGGTGCCTTGCTCTTTTGTTTCTGCATCATTTAACCTGAGGCTCATTTAACCTGCGAGGTCCATGGGAGTTTGGCCCTGCCTCAGGTAGACACCTGGAGGTGTGAAGGGGGTAACTTTGGAGGACACGAGCGTTTGTCTGGAAATGAAGGCAGAGCCATGAGCTTTCAGGCTGGCACAAGGACGCCGACTGTCACTGAGTGGATTATGAGACAAACACAGTCATCTATTCCAACAGTCGACACTGTAGCCATGGGAAAATAGCACTGAAATGCTCTCCTTTGATGCTTTCACGGATAGTCATTTTCTTCAAAGCAATATTTCACCTTGGTAGAATGTTTTCCAACTTTAGTGCACCTCCCCTGTAAAGGAGATCATAAACCTTCAACCTGAGAGCTGTGATTTTGTATTTATTTGCCATCCTCCTGGACACTATGCAAAAAGTTAAAGAGGAGTTCAAATAATTTAATTCTGAACATTTACACTACACAGATGTGTGCACTGAAAACGAAATATCATGTTAATCTCCACTCAAGGATGCACATATTGAACCAGAGCTTAGCTGGAAATGAATGGAGAAAACCTTATGTAACTGTCAGTATGAAGTGGATTGAATTTGTGCTTTACAGTATCTAAATTATCACTTATTTACATATCTAAGGAATGTGTCAGTACTTTTTGATAAATACATATGATCAGTAATATTGTGCTCATAATCTAATCATGGTTTCATTCTTGGTCAGTTTTATCTTTCAGCTGAAACTGTCTGTACTTATGTGGATGCCAGTCGGCTTCCCAGCATTTATAAAATGTCATATTATGTCTTCAGTACCAATATTAAAAAGGAATCCGTCCTGAAAATGCCATACATACTAATGCCATTACTCTAGAATCTGAGGTGTCTTCTGTGTTGGGGAGTGAATAATTGATACTGAAGAAGAGTGTACTCGTCATTCTTGTGAAATATCTTTATAGTCAGCAGGCTCTAGCCCTGTATGCAAAGCTCTTAATAAAACATCATGTCTCCCACACTACTCCAGTGGCTGTCTTGGAGCAAAATGTCTGCTATCTGCTGGACACTAAGCATTAATAATAGGATTGAATATAACTCCACATTCCCTTTGTAAAATGTCATTATGGTGGTACCATGCTGCTTCTCTTCTTGTCTTGGAGAGCACCAACTCAGCCTGTATGAGCAAACAGGCAATCTTTGCTAATAATAAATTAATAAAAAAAAGCTTAATTCCTACTATTTATTGCTTTTTAATTATTTATTCCTTGGCCAGACCATTTTACCTTAGACTGTTAAATGGATATAAGAAATTTGAAGACAACCTTTGACTTTTAACTCATTATAAAATGTCACGTACTCTGCAGGTGCTGGTGGATGGTCACCTCTGGACAGTGACCATTACCAGTGGCTACAGGTGGACCTGGGTTCGAGAAAGCAGGTGAGCGCCATAGCAACGCAGGGTCGCTACAGCAGCTCTGATTGGACAACGCGGTACCGTCTCCTCTACAGCGACACAGGAAGGAACTGGAAACCATACCACCAAGACGGCAACATTTGGGTGAGTGAACATGAAATGTGTGCGTGTGTGTGTTGGTTGGTGTGTAGGTGTGTGTGTCTGCATACAAAGCCATGGGCACAGGCTATCAGATAGGGAGCAATAACATCAAAGACTGAGATCTAGTTGGCTTGCTTTTATATTCCCAGTGGGTGATAATTGTAGATCCAAAGCAATTTGCATGCATCATTCTATTTTTTATGTCCCCTGTTATTTATTTCTCTGCATAAAATTGAATGTATGACTCAAAATGTACGTGTTAAAAGGACTGAACCGAATGGAAGTATTTTATGATAGAGGAGGACACTACACAAAATACATAATGTTTTCTTGTCATTATTATTAAATGTGAAGGCTTCCTTTTCACCTTCACATAACCCTGAGCAGAAAACCTCTGTGGGAGGAAAACTCTGAGTGCTACAGTGGTGGTGCACATAAATATTCATCAATTAATTAGCTCAGTCTTCACTAAATGTAACATCTCAACCACATACCTTATTCAAGCACTGATGGGTTCTAGATGGAAAACACATGGTAAGAACAACATGTGCAAATGAGCCATTAGCACTTTATTGCTTGATTTTGTACGGATGTGATCTCAATCTGGCTATATCTGTCTACATCCCTTATTCCAAACCAATAGACCCCTGTGACCGGACTGTTAGCAAGTACCTGAGTGGAGCATCTGACAATCCATGATCATTAGCTAATAGGGTAATAGCCCACACTATTCACTGTTGCTGTACATTGAAGGGGTACAGGTGATAACAGATGGGCTTTCAGCTAGAGGAAGGGAGAAGAGAAGAATAGCCTTGTCATGAATAACATTGATACACCAAGCAAGTCAGCAGAAATGTAAAACCTAAAGTAAAGGGGAGAGGCTGTTTATCTCCAACGGTGGAGTCAGTGTTTTTTTTTTTTCTGCTAGACTAGTGATCTGAAACTGCTGGCCCGGGGGCTATTTCTGGCCCTCCATCCCCCTCCTTCTGGCCTGCGACATGATGTCAAAAATATAATATAATCTGACCCGCATTTTCATATCAATTTAAACTACCACTACATGTACAATTGAAATAAAAACACAATGCTATTTTTAAAAATGTATTTCGTTGGGCGCAATATGATTATGTACGGTCAAAGGTGCCTGCGGTTGATAAGAAGAGAGCAGGTTTCAGGCCTTCATTTGTTTTTTGGCTCAGAACAGCAAAGATGATGATATAGAAACTGCTGTTTGCATTTGTTTAAGTATTATGTTAGTAATGGAAATATTTTCTGAATATTGGACGTAGAAGTGTCATGTGAGATGACAATACCTGGAGTTTAAGACCCCAGTGCTAGAAGGATCCTGTAGAAAGACTGGTGATGGCAATTACTGAGCCCTGTTGGATCCTCAGGGATCTCCTGTGAAGGCCATTAGGTCTATGTACCATACTTTATTAGTCAGGGGCAACAAACATTAGTTACCATCAATATGGTATAAATGTATCATATTTAGCAAAAAGGCTGAAAGAAGCAAACAAGATATACAAAACCAGAAAATACAACATTAAGGACATACTATTACAGAAGTAAACCTAGTAAAAATAATTACAGAAGAGACCATGCATACATACAGTATATGCAAAATACTTGTTGATCCCTGTTTCAGTGCATATCGGAATGTTACTAAGTAGAAAATCCAATAAGGCAAAATGTTTTTTCCAAAACTGTAAATAAACAAATAAATCAATGAATAAAAAGTCAAGCAGTTACACATCTTCTTCAACAAAGATGTACTTTTACATCTAATCCAGCTGATCTACTCCAAATGAGAGATTCAAGGCTGGTTAGTTTTCGGCTGCTATATTTTGTCAGTTGTAGATCTGTTTACTTCTAATTCTTTGTGGCTTTTTGTGTTGATCAGTGCAGGAAAAAGGGTTTGCTGCTTTTTAAAGCTACATATGAAACATTTTACTCTTTGCTTAGATTAAATAACATTACTTCAGCCTATTGGTTGTCGAACAAAACTAATTCTGAATTATTTTGTTTGCTTTCCTGGTGAAATACAGAGTTTCAGTGCATTTTAATTTTGAGTTACTTTTCCAATAAAATATTGTTATGTTTCTTGCTGCTATGTTTTTGTTTTACCAAGTTAAATAAGAATAACTCAGTTCTTACACTCCGAACCAATTTTCAGTTCTCACAATCTTTCTTCCTTTCTGACCTCCTTTTTCATAATAATCTTTAACATTATAATCTGCAACTGCACAGCTAGATACCACTAAATCCTACACACTTGTCCTTCAAGGAAGTGTTTCCTGACAGATGTAATTCAGGGCAGAACTTTTATGTAGTATGTCCTTAAAAGTCTATTCCTGAAAGGAGGAAAAAAAAGGGGCCTGGCCATGTCCTCTCTTTAAAAGATATAGAACCTCCATAAAGATTCATGTGCACCATCACACTTTAAGGCGTAACTACACCCTTCAGTTCTGCTAGAGAACTCCCACTTGAAGCAGAGACTGGGGAAGGTGGGCTGCACTCCTCTGATTAGAGGGCATTAACACTATGTTTTTATATATATTTTTATGATGCAGGGTCACCCCAAAACATTCAACTCTATCTCAGCATTTGTCTTAAAATGTACAATGTGATTTAAAAGAGCAGAGGGCATGTTGAGCCAATTTTAACCCACGAAATGCAGCGAAACACAAGTTTCATAAATTAAGAAATAATGCCAATTCTTGCATTTTGCACTTTGCATTTATCCCCAGATAGCTCCATGATTATTCTCTCTTTCAGTACTATTAGGACCATTTGCAGTGACAAATATGGATCTTTTACAGTTAAAGGAAATTAAGTTGTTGTTTTTGTGTGCTGCATCATAATTGTTTGCCGATTATTATTTATTCAGAAGTGTTTTCCTTCTGCCATTAAGCCTGATTCATTGCCCCTAATATTCCTGCAAATACTCCAAAACACATTCATCTCTTGGATGTTTTTGTAACTATAGTCGACTTTTTTCAGTTTTGCCTAGATGTATGACATATATATTGCTTTTTAATTTATCGCCAGTGTAATTCAAAATATTGCCTATGTAAACAAATGCAGAGCCAATAATTTTAAGCTGGGCATATACCATCAATAATCCCCAGCGCAGTAACAAGCAAAACTGGAGCCATTTGTTTCTCTCTGTCTCTTGTCTTATTTAGAAGAGGCTTTGGGACACACATGCTTCTACACCTACAAAAGCTAAAGATGTGCCTTTGCACAAGTCTAGACCTTTTTTGTGAATGTGTGTGCGTTCCTTTGTGTGTAAGTGGTGGTGATAATATTGGAGCTATCAGTGCTATTGATCAAAGGGACAGGTGGGGATGGTAGGGCGCTTAAGCCAACTTAATGTCTCACACATACACATACACACCGCTACCATCAGACCCTGTTTCAGCCCATTCAATCACTTTCGGCTCAGTCCCATTCACCACTGGATGAGGTTCACACAGCCATCTCCAGAGAGAAAACCACCTGTCCTGCAGCCTTATGCATGAACGACCTATTGAGGAACATTTTGCCACCAATCACCACCTGCCGTTATTCCACACTGATGACTTAACTCTTTCACTGTCAAACTGAGAGGAACACTTTTAGTCAAAGCAGTGTCGATGCTAGCTTAACTGTTGTGACTGTGATTCACCGGGGTGGATAATTGTTAGAGACCTGGCAACTGCAGTATTGGCTTTGTGAAAAATTGTGTTTTTTTAATGTCTCACTAATGTACTACTGAGGAGTCACAATGACATTGATGAATTACTGTGATAATTAAAATACCAACTGTTGAACAGAGGACAAAGCCTAAGGAGCTGTCAATACCTGCAAACTTGAATTCATCAGTTAAATATCATACTGATATGGGGAACACTCATTGGCTGTAATGGAAAAGGCAACACCTCTTCCTCTCCTGTCTCATCTCAGGACACAATCTCTTGTGTCATCTCCCCATTTAAACTGGTTATTCAGATCCTGCCTCACTAATCTCCGTTTTTGGCATGAAGCTTTGCCAAAATCAAAGCAGCATATTGTCTTTTCAAGATCTAAAATTCCTCCCATCTTGATTATTTTGCAGCTCACTGTTTACCACCCCGAGTCGCTCTTCATTGTCTCAGCTCCAGTTGGTCCAGAATGCAGCTGCTTGACATCTCACTACTCACTAACACAAGTTGTATGTCACACATCACTCCAGTGCTGGCCAATCTATATTTGTTGCCCATCAAATGTAGAATTGATTGTAAAGTTCCTTTAATCACCTATAAAGTGCAACATGGGTGACCGTGCCTTTGCAGTTGTGCAGCTGTTATTGAGTTCTTTCTGAACTATTAAAGTAACTAGTAAATGGAGTGTGTGCTGTAGAGCAATGTGTTAACAGGTCCATATTGTTTGTATCTTGTGGTTTACCAGGATACAAATGCCGTAGACCTCAATAATACATATAACATGATTTGATAAGTAACACTGAAAAGAAAACAGTGTTTGTTGAGAATGATAACTCCACAGGGTACTTTACCTAAATGTCATTTTCTGTTTGCCGAATTGCTTTCTAAAAACCTTCACAACTTAAAATTACAGTACAACATGTGTTGTGAAAGTTTTGAGTACTCAGTGACAGGTAACAATTTGTCATTGAAATGTGTATCTTGGAAACCTTTCAAGTGATCATCTTAATGTCCTTTGTCAGAGTTTGATTCCATAGCCACAGCGTCATGATTTAATATGTGTCTCAGTGGGAACATTAAAAGCTAAATGTGGTGTGTAGTGAATTCTGTGAGAGCACAGAAATAAAAAAAACATTTTCTGTCTGACTGCACATTAAAACTCAGTTAACTTAACCATTTTAAGTCACGTTTTACTTTCACACACTTGTTTACCATAACTCTTATTCAGATAATGCCAGCAGGCTCTGTCTCACACTGTTTATTCATGTGGTTGAGGGGCTTGAAGCTGCACATACACCAGGTCAGTTGACAGTAATG